CAGCATAAGACGAGGAAAAGAAAGAGGCCCCCTGAAGGCACCCAAGAGGCCCCCAAATTCCTCCCCTGAGGCCCCCAAGAGCCTTCCGAAGAGACCCCACAAAAACATCCCTGAGGACTCTGGGCCACGTCGTCGCCGCCGTCGCCGCCGCTGCCGCCGTTGTCGTCGCCGTCCCCCTTCGGGGAATGGCGGCACCGGCCGTAAGGCCGCCGCAGTGAGACGAGGAAACGAAAGAGACCCGCTGGTGCATGCCTCGGCCGCCCACAACCTCCACCGCCGCACCAGAACGCGAGGGGCCATCCCGCCACGCAGACGGCAACGAACGCTGATCCACGAGGGGCACTATCACGCCGCGGGCTCTGGAAGGACGCCAGGACATTAGGACATTGCCTGCAATCGGCGGCACGCCCGGGGGGGAAGGCAGGGGGGGCGGGCCTCGTGAGACGGCTCAAGAGGTCCCCCCGGCCTGCCGAGAAACTGACGGAGCCGTCTCCGAGGCCACAGAGGGGCTGCTCAACTTGCCAGAGGGCCTCTGAGAAGCCCCGCAGTCCGCCGGCTTCTGGGAAGGCCTGCGCCCTCTCACTTCCCCCCGTCGGCGCGCCGCCGACCATCACGCCGTCGGCCCAGGAAGCACGTCAGGACATTGCAGAATTATATACATCTGCTCATCTTCATTTCCTCCCCGTCTGCCCCTCAGAAAAGGCAACCCGACTGGGCCAGCCCGGACGCGCCTCTTCGACCAACCACACACCTGGCAGTCCGCCTGTGACCGCCTTGCCGCGGCATTGAGATCGAACTGCGCAGAGGAGTCCAACCTCAGTCTCGGAATACACTGCGCTGCCATCGCACGCTCGGCTCGACACGCAGGGCGCCGCAATGCCAATAATTCGCCGGCCCAGCGGGCCAGAGGCGTGCTAGGATCTCCAGAATCTGCTAAATAATACTTCTACTTCGCGCGCGCGGGGCGGCCCCTGGGGGTCCCCGGACGAAAAGTACCCCGGGCGATCCCCGGCAGGGTCGGGTCAGATATGGTTTTCCTCCTGGGCGCCGCCCCCGTGGCCCTCCAGAGAGCCCCAAGAAGGGCCACGAGGCCGCCAAGAGCCCTCCAAGATGGTTCAAGAGTGCTCCGAGATGCCACACGTTCGTTCCAAGACGCCCAAGATGGCCCAGAGACGCCCCAAGAGGCCTCCAAGAGCACTCCTGGCCAGATTTTGGCGTGTCCATCTTTTCGGCTTCCCGACGCCCCAAGACGGCCCAAGAGGCCCCCAAGATCGCCCCAAGAGGGCCCAAGAAGCTCCCAAGAAGGCCCCAAGATGGCCCAAGAGGGCTCCAAGACGGCCCCAGAGGCATCCAAGACGGCCCAAGAGGGGCCCAAGAGGGCCCCAAGCGATGCCCCAAAGGGGGAACACAAAACAAAACTTCGAGCCCTCGGCCTTAAGAAGCCCCCAGGAGGCCTCAAGAGGCCCCTGAGAGGCCCCAAAAGCCCCCAAGAGGCCCTCAGGAGGCCCCCAAGCGACGCTGAAGAGGCCCCCCAGCGGCCCCAAGAGGCTCAGTCATGCGAAATGGGCCGGCGGAATGAGCGAAGCGATTCAATAAGAAAGGCCCCCACGCTCGAAGAGAACATGCGCGGCAAGCACTATCATCCGCCACCGTGCATCCACGGAGTGGGCGTGTTCGAATGCTCCTCGGTTGTGTGGCAAGGCTTCCTCTGTGTGCTCTAGAGCAGACCCCCACCCTTTCCAGCGACCATCCTCCGAATTCCACCCGCTCCTCTTCAGCTTCCAGACGGCGCCAAGACAACCAAACCGCGCCCCAGACAAAACAGCCAAGCTCGCCCCAAAACGGCCCGGAAGGCTTCCGAGGCGGTCCCAAAACTGCCCTTAGATTGCCTCGAACGGTCCAGGAGGTCCTCAAAGGGCCCGAGATGTCCCCAAGACGGCTCACAAGGCCCCCAAGACGTCCCAAGAAGGCCCCAAGAGGATGACAAAGAGGCGCTTGAGGCAAAAAGCATCGAGTTCCCAGAGGTTGTTGAACCATTTTACCATGCCGGCCCCTTCAGGTCTCCGAAACCCAAGAAGGCCCGAAATGCCCCCAAGAGGGCTTCCAAACAGTCCACGAGGGCCGTCAGAGGACCACAAGACAGCCAAGAAGGGCAACACTTCGGCCAAAAAGCGCCCCAAGACGGCCCAAGAGGGTCCACGACGGCCCAGGAGGCCCCCAAGACATCTCAAGAAGCCCCCGAAAGGAGGCCCAAAAAGGCCTTACGAAAGGCCCGAAAAGAGGATATGGAAATCCCTCCATTATTGCCTGTGGGAGCCCCACCCCAAGACGCCACCGAGAGGCCCTCAGATGCCCCCAAGAGGCACCCAACAGACTCTCCC